AGGACCGAACCCTGCGGAACCCCACTGCCCACATCCTTCCAGGTCGAATAAGACCCATCCACCACCACTCTCTGGGTGCAGCCCTCCAGCCAACTAGTGACCCATTTGACTGTGTAGGTGTCAATGCCACAGTCCTCCTAGTTTTTTAATGAGAATGGGGTGAGAGACAGTGTCGAAGGCCTTCCTAAAGTCCAGAAAGACTATGTCCGCTGCTACACCTGTGTCTAAGGATTTTGTGACCTGGTCATAGAAGGCCACCAGGTTGGTCTGACAGGACCTGCCTCTAATGAACCCATGTCAGTTGCCCCTAAGCATAATCTTCCCTGCTGGCTCCTCACAGACATGCGCCAGGATAATTCTCTCAAAAGCGTACCCAGGACCGAGGTAAGACTAACTGGCTTATAGTTTCCCGGGTCCTTCTTCCTCCTTTTTTTGAAAATGTCATGGGAGGTGAGATGGTGTTTGCTCTAATACCTTTCTTTGAGGAGTTTGGCTGGAACAAATAAGGTTTAACCTTATAGACCAGAGAACTATTAAGGTGTTGTTGCATGTTACCTTTCAAACATGTTAAATGCTCTTTAAGTTTGCAGTGTGAACATGTCAAGGCAGGAAAAGACAAGCTACCTACCCTCTGAGTGTCTCAGAGATAATCCTCTTCAGGCGAGGATTATCTCCAGCTGGTGGTAGGCAGCTTGTGTTGCAGTAACCAGTCTGCTCCATGAAGCTAATACCATAAATTTGTGGTCATCCAGTATCCCAAGAGGCACTGCTACCAGAGCCCCCTCCCCCATGTGGACTAGCTATCATCCAGAATTCTGCTGCCCTGGACTGATAGATGGGAACAGCTGGGCACTTATAGGTGAGTCAGGTGGGGGTGAGTTGGAGGGTCAAGGAAGGAGGGACGGAAGTGAGAGGGGAGGGTGGGAGGCGGAGAGGGATGGCAAAGAGGACCAAGTGGGTGGGGAGCTGCTGAGCAGCTGTGAGGCTCAACAGTACAGTGCAGGCTTGATTCAGGTACTGGGGAGTTGCCGGAGAGCTGCAGGGCTTGGTGGGGCTGATGTGGACCCAATTCAGGCCAGTAGGGGCAATATGAACCCAATTCTGGAGCCTATATTGCTGTTGGAGAACTGGTGAGCCAGGCAGGCATGAAGAAGACTTGACAGCATGTGTTAACTTTAATACTGCCTAACATTCCTAATAGTTAACGTGCTAATTTTAACAAGCAACTATGCCTACAGTGTTCCTCAGGAAGATCATCAGCGGTCAGGGTGATGTGGTAGAAATTAAACTTGCTGCTCCAATGTGCTGTAAATCCAGTGCATCAGAGCAGGCTCAATTAATCAAGTCTTCTGGAGCATGGAAATTAACGTGCTCCAGCAGCCTCTAGCATCACGTGTATCAGTGTCCCTGCGCTGAAAAATGTCGGCGGGGCACTTTGAAATAAAGGTTGTCAAATGAGCTTTAGTTCAGAGTACCCTGCTGCCATCTTTTCAGTGTGGGGACAACTGATACATGTGATGCTCAGGTGCTTTGAATTAGTACAGCTAACTAATTAAAGTGCCCCCCTCCCAGAGCATGTCTGTGAATACCCTAAGGCAGCAAAGAATTGTCATCAAATGCCAATCTTTATTAACGTAATTTGAAAACAAAAATTACCATAATTGCAACCTTCTCCCACAGCATAGTAGATTCTCTGAACTCAAAGAGAAAAAGCATTTGCTTGCGTAATATTCAAAATGTGGTGTCCTATATAAAAGTTAAGATAATACAGGTAGATAATAAAGGCAGTAGCATAACTCGGGGTGAGCAAGCGGGTCACCAGTCCTCTCTGCCATTTTGGTGGCTCTCCAGGGAGTCTATGGTGCAGCAGCAGTCCCATATCTTGGCTATATGGTATAAAGAAGTACAAAATAAATGCTCAGAAACCTGTGTTACAGCGCAGTAGCACTGGCAAATGCCTTTTTTATGATGCTACTGTGCAGTAGCATTGCATCATGGTTTTTGCCATGCAAGGCTACTGCACAGTAGTATCAGGTTACTGCTTAGTCAGTATCTCATGTAGATGCTCCCACTGTGTAAGAAAACAAGGTTAAATTTATTTTGCATTTTGATTAGCACATCGTGAGGTTTTTGATCATTCTAAGTTCATTAGGGGTGCTCCCTTGTCCAAACCCCTGCCTCTTATTATATCTCATAAATTTCTGGGGACTGTACTGGCTGTTTGATAGGTTCCCTGTACAATGAGAGTTTCAGATTCCTTGTAGCATAGCCGCCCCATCAGCCTCCTGTAGACGTTAGGCTGCTTGAAGCCTGGATTAATTACTTTGAATACGGGCCCTTGCAACCTGCTAATTTTTTTTATTATGGGATAAATTGAATAAACAAAATGAAGGCTGCTCCTGTCTTAGAAGCAGAATAGAATCTGGGTTTTAGTTGCATAAATATCATTTAGATGTATAATAGGTGGATTGGGCTCTAGCCCAATGTCTTTGTTTTAATGGTTGAGAGATACCCAAGCCAACAAGGGCAGACTTAGTTAAAATGTAGTAGTATCCTTCTCATAAGTAAGCCAAAATAATTAAAACATTTAGAGAATGATCTGTTAATTATACTGGTTCCAGGCACACTTCATTTGCTGTATGTTTTGATAACCTGGACCATTTTAGTGTTACATGTATTCATCTGAATCTTTTCAAGCCTTGCTTTCTATAATACTCATCCTTTTTTTCTTAAATGCTTGCTACTGTGAAGGAACATGCATCCATATCAAAGTGTAAAATGAATGATGAGGATTGAATACCTCCTTTTCATTTGTTTCTCTCTTTCTTTTTACAAAAGTTGAGATGAGTCCCAATACAATGATTTTTTTGCCTTAATGAGAAAAGTAAGCCAAATTAAATGAAATGCAGTAGACAATAGCTGCTTGTTAAATTTAACACCATTACATCCAAAATACACTGTTCTTAAAGATTTTTCAAGATACCATAAAAG